GGGATGGGGGCATCAGGCCGAGGGGGGCGAGGCGGGGCGGCTTGCACGAGCTGGGCAGGGAGATGCCCTGGCGCGGCGCCCAGGACAGGGTGGGCCAGGGCTGGGGGCAGGGGAGGTGCTGGGCCCCTCCGCCGGCTAGGCCCGGCTCGGGGGGGGTCTCCCCAAACCCCCTTGCTTGACGCTAGCCCCCCTCAGGACATGGCAGCGTCCCCTCTGCCCGTGACCCCACGCAGCCAGTGGGGCGGTTTGTCCAGGGCGCCCGGGCCGGCACCGCAGGGCACCTCAGGGGGCTGCGGCACCCAGCGGGCAGTCCCTGCCTTAGGGGCAGGGATTGGTCCCTGGCACCTGCTGCCCTGGACCGGGGCCTCTTGCGGGCAGGAGTGCTGCAGAGCCGGGGTCGCGGCCTACTCGCTCCCCTCGGCGCCAGCAGCCCCCTTGGGCCTGGCTCTGCCACGGCGGGGTGCTGGGGGACAGACGCTCACACCCGCTGCAGCTGGGCCCGGGGAGCCCGCCCGCGCGGGGGCTCCCGGCTCCAGCAGCCCCAGCCCTCGTGGCATGGGGCCGTCACTGGGCCGGAGCTGGCAGCGCTCCCACTGCAGGACAGACGGGTTAGTCCCAGAGTCTCACGTGGGGGCTCAAGCCTGGCTCCACTGAGAGACCGGAGAGGTGGGGATTGACATCGGCCGAGGCCCAGCCCAGAGACAGCGGTGCGTGCCGGGTGCCGCTCAAGCCAGGACCTGCAACGCTAGACGCCAGCCATTCCTGGGGGTGTGGGCGACACCGGAGCAACCCCTGCTTCTGCCGCAGCACAGGCACGATCCAGCCCCGCTCTCTGCTTGATGCAGACGTCAGTCACGACACGACGGTATCACCCGGTGCAGCGGGACGTGCCTGTCTTTGGAGGGAAGCCAGCCCCTGCGCTCTCTCTACTGCTCACCTGTGGCTCCAGAAGCAGGTCTAGAGCATCTTCCATAACCCACGTGTCCGGAGGGGTCCATCTTTCTTCCTGCTCTTGTTCCCAGAGCTGCCAGCCTCCTGGACTTGGTCCCTCCACCGGTGCCATCACGATGGTCTCGACGAAGGGCACGCGTGTTTGAATCCATCACCCTACAACCGGCAGGTGGATCCAGGATCTAATTACCTTGACAGAGGCTGTTCCCTCTAGGGAGACATAACTGCTTTACACTGAGATAAATGGGGCCAGGATCAGCGGCTCTGAGTGTAAGAAAGTGAAGCTTAGTCAGCTAAATCCCCAGCTGGCGTCAATCTGTGTAACTTCTTCAGAGTTGATAGCACTTGGCTGGTTTAAGTCGGGCAGGGCCCCAGCACCGGTTTACTCCACATGTACCCACACACACACTTCCTCGTGCGTCTGGTTGGAATAAAATCCACCACAGCCATCTCCTTTCTTCTCATTTCTGACCTCTTTATTGAAAAATTCAGGCTAAGTTTGAATCTGAATCTGTTGTGACAATGGGAAAGAGCTGGAATGTAATTGCTGTAGATTACCTTCCTTAAAGCGCCGCCGGGAGCAATGCTATAGTTCAAGTCGATGTAATTTTAAATCCGCCATGTGACTCGCCTATGACATCTTTCCCCCACGTAGTGGATATGCTCCTTAATAAAGGAATCCAGTAACTCTTTACAAAGATGTGATAATTAACTGAATAACGCAGCTTCTAGATAACGGAGGTGGTACGAGAAGGCACAGAAGAACGTCCTTTCCCTCGGCGCCGGAGCTGAATGAACCGCAGACTTAGTTACAAGGACCCCGCTGGGAGCCGACTGCAATTTTTTTTGTATAACATTTGATACAATTTCTGCCACAAAGACATGTGTTCCCTTTCTGTAGCTCCGTAATGGTCCAAATACAGGCAGGGCTTGTCACCCCGCAGTCATTTCCAGCTGAAAGGGACAGCCAGACTTTCTTTGGCTGGGTGTGAGCTGCTTTCATTCCCTGATGAGAGAGGAGCGAGGTGCTGTGAAACGCAAGATTACTATTTTCATTTGTTTTTGCAGTGGCGAGGAACTTGGAGCAAGGGGAAAGACCTTGGCTGATGTCAATCAGAGTAGCGCCATGGTAGAAGCGGTGGGGGGGGTTTGCCATGGTCCTCTACCGGAGGTCTCTCGAGTGTATATTAACAACCTTTTACAGCAGTAGGATGTTGGCCGTCGTGGTCCCCCTGCTTTACCTGTGGCAGGTTCAGGGGTTATGTATGGTGTTATGTCAGGGTTTTACTAAGAGGTTAGATTATGGATTTGTACAGGGTGGTTCGGATAGGGCTGATCCTGCCTCAGGCAGGGGCTTGGACTAGATGACCCCTGGCAGTCCCTTCCAGCCTGACTTCTCTATGACTTTATGACACTGAGTTAAAAGGAGCTGAACTGGGTTTCAAGGGGGCTACCCTGATTTATAGCACTTAAGAGTCTGACCCCGCTGTTTTAAGCAGGTCTGCCCATGGACCAGAAACTATGGAAAACTTTGAGATCATAGGCAGGTACTTAGTGCCTGGGCACCTTCCCCCTAACTTATACCTGTGAAAGATGAGACATGGCAGAAGTCCTCATTCTGGCCCCTGCCATAATCTCCTGCTCGGCCGTACCCCAAACCCCTCCCTCCTTTCCCTTGTGGGGGGAAACTTGTTGCTGGAGGTGATTTCCCTTTCATCAGAGTGTCTTCTGGGAGTAGCGGCCTTGTTCTGGCATGGGGCAGAATGGAGAATGTGGACCTAAGTCTTGGTTTGGCCCGGGCGGTTTCTGAAAAGACCTAACACCTTGGACTCTGCTGGGGATGAATCCCTAGGTAGCTAGAGGATGTGTTCCTAGCTCCTTCCCTACTGTCTATTTGTCTCGTAAAAACAAAGTGAAGGTGGCTGGAGTAACACCCCCCCAAATGAATTATCTAGAGTGACACCAAACCAGGAGTTTGTTTTATGCTTCATGGTAACTGCTTCTGACACCGAGAAGGCCAGCTCCCAGGCCTGAAATCAGTTACTTCTCCCCACACAGATGGCTACGGGACCAAGGATGGAATTAATGCAGGCTTCTGAATATGGGCAAAGTGAATGAGCGCTGATGGCATGCATCCCTGCATTCATCCAGATCACAGCTAAGCATTTGCTGGGTTGGAAACAGCCCGCTAGGTGTTACAATGTGAAGGGGCAGACAGATTGCATCTTGAAATACATATACCTGTGTATGCCTTGGGCAACCTCCTCAGCTGATGTAGATTAGTGTCACCCTAATGATCTGCTACACACACCCAGCGAAGGAACGGCTTTAGTTTGAAGGCCTGGGTGGCCTTCATTGAAACTCCAGTCTTTGTCTCCTTGCGAAGAGGAAAGACAGAGAAGACTGGAGATTTAAGATGTGTTCAGCGAATGTTTCTGAAAAGGAACCACAGTATTTGTTCTGTTCTGCCTTACATGTCATTGTTGTTTGCATATCTTGGGGCATTTTTGCAGGCCTTTTTTTTTAATGTCCCTTTTTGGCATTTCTGTATCGAAGTGAAATTTTCCAATCAGTATTTTAGATTTTTGGGAGAATGTTTTTCAAAACTTCCTTTTTTCATGAATCAGCTTTGTTGAAACTCAAACTAGGATTCGGAAGGACAACAAAGCAAATTCATGTTGCTCCATCTTACAAGTCCTAGTTTTACTTTGTATGTATTGCAGCACCGAGAGAGCCTGGCACCCTCGAAAACAGAGCACATCACAAGGCAAGGGGAAATATTTTTCTCTCCTTATGTTGCTGATAGTTAAAAATGTAAAAAGCTCTGGAGACCTTGCTACCTTCCCTTGTAGATCAGCCCATGATCTCACCTTTTGTCTGACCCTCAGGCATTAACCCCTGCCAAATACCTTGTGATCCCAACACGTAGTGCAGTCAAGAGAGTGATTTCATTCAGCTCCCTGCTCCAAGGAGCCTCCCAGCGTATCTTGTTGCCCTTAGGTCTATCTTTCAAGCTCCAAGTGCTTTGAGTCAAGGTTGCCTTAGCAGTTGCCATCTTGTGTAAAAAATGGTCTCAGTTGCTCAAGCTTCCAGCAAAGGAGACTTCTACATGTTTCCTGAAAAGAAAACTCTCTTTCAAAGCTCATCTTGAAAACTGACTTGCAAATACAAAGCGAATCCAAAAATTATGGTGTGTGTTAAGGGGGGAGGCCTAGAACCTGCAGGTTGCTCAGTTTGCATGTGCTAATCTGAGCAGACTCAACTGCACACACACGTTTTAATGACCCAGGAGAATTCTCCTGGTAGAAAAACTTACCTGGAGACACCTGAACAGAGATTCAAATACTGAGCCCCTGAAGAGCAGAGAGCTTAAAGCGCTGATGCTGTGCAGCCAGGGAGACCCTGTGCACACATCTCAGCATCCTCTGCAGGTTCCCTCAGTCTGCCTGGTGAAAGATGATAGCATGCACAGGGCATCCCTGACTGGCTGATCCAGACTTCTCCGAGTCAGCCTGTATCTCCCTGCAGTTCAATGTGGGATTCTGAAGAGGGATTGATCTGCTCCCTGCTTGGCTGGTGTAGCACAGTCCAGCCTGACTAACACACTGTCCCCGGGGCGGAAGGAGGGGGCAGAAGCAAAACACCTTAGGAGGCTGGAGGACTCTTCTGTGGCTCCTCTCAGAAGGGAAAAGTGTACAGACATTCGTTCTCCCAGGACAAGCTCTCCCCAGTTGTTCCCAGGTTATTTTTCTCCTAGAGCAGCCATTTTTGCTCTGGGAGAAAAAGCCCAAACACCTGTACACTCATGGTTTCTCCTGAGACAGCAGCAACTGTCCCAAGACAAACTGAATGTCTGCATGTGGCCTGTTACCAGTGGTGACCAGAAACGTTGACTGTCTTAGCTTGCTTCCTTGTTTTAATTGATATATTAGTATACATTTTACAGAACCCGTACAGAATGTGCATAGAGGCATTGCTGCATATAACGTTCACAGATATGGTACTAATAGTTGATACATTAACAAATCCATATGCCAGTATACTGGTATCAGTTTGCATGGATGCAGAGCTGTTTCTTTCTTAATGTTGTTTTTAGATTGAAATTATAAACTGGATGAACAGGAAGAGGATGGGGTTCAGTAGGTCCCATGCATTTCAGTCTGTCTCATGGATTTGAAGCATCGGGTCTCTATTCTGAATAAACCATAAGCATTAAAAAATCATCACTTCACTAGGAATATTGATTAATTGTCACAACATGAAAAAATAAGCAATACACTTTTGCGTGACTACATGAGCTATCTGCTTAGACTTTATTGATAAAAACCAGTAGCAACATTAATCACTGTAGTAAAATCAGACTATTTCTCAGCTTTGAATGCTGATATAGATACATGTGAGTTCAGTAAAGACATTTTGCAGGAGCTGGGGGTAACACGGTTTCCAGTGCGATCCCATCAAAACATCGATATTCCTAACATAGCATAGAATTAACAAGAGGCAATATATTGTATGAACATGCACAAGGAAAATAAAAATGTTTCCTCTTCAAAAACGTGAAAAGTGACATGTAAGTCTGTATCACTCATTCTTCCCTATAAACAGATGTTCAGAAACCTCATTAGTCACATCTTCCCAACATTTTTGCACTTTAGACCCCTCCTTCAAAGCAGGAAGATGGATGTCCATGTCATTCCAGTCGCCTTCCCAGTCAGTACCAGTTATTTTTTAACTAGGCTGAAAGGACAATTATCTATGCAATCCTGAATGTTACAAAAATGAAAAAAGGGAATCTGGGTTCAACATTCTACGCAGAGTAATAATGATTCGTCTTTTCATCTTTTTTCTTTTTAGTAACTGAGTTCCTCTGAGCACAAAGCAAAGGGATCAATTAATGTTCTGCTAGGTGCGCTTCTACTTGCAACAAAGTTTGAATTTGGCTTTGTGTGCATCTCTTCCTATCATTACTTCCTTAAGAAGCCAGTTCATAGCTAAGGCATGTGCTTGATAAGTCAGGAGCACCAAAAGTGATATTACTTGTTCCCTGACTCTTGTGCTCTGAATTATTTGGAATGCCCCTTGGACTGCTACCTGCTTTGTGACCCACTTTATTTATATGAAAGTAAAGTAAGGGAAAATTTCAAACAATCCCAGTTTCTCTTGGAGTGACCCAGATCACCATCAAGTAGACCTAAAGGCCAAGTGACCCAGATCACCATCAAGTAGACCTATTACCCAGCCCTATCTATTCACATTCACACACACACACGGTGGAGATGGAGCACTGTAGCTAGCATGTGTTGCTGAAAGTCTTGGAATGAGCTATATACGGTACAGGAGAAAGATTGGAGCATATATATAAAGGCAGTGCATCTCCAGGGTCCAGCTGTTAATGCAACAATAAGACAGTAAAAACCTATGCCAGGAACATTATATAGATCCAATGTAGAAAGAGTCCAATATGCACTAGAAATAGCTTGTTATGTACAGTATATTCAAACCAACCAGGCAGATATACATTTAAATGTGCTTCATGCACGTGCCCTAGGGCACTTGACTGTAAAAAATTTATAAGGTATAAATGCAATCAAATATTTAAAATGCTAAAGTGAACAAGCTTGCTTATTCTACTCTTTATGATGAAGAACAGGCCAAGTTCTCCGCTGGGGTAGTGGCACTGAAATTAATGCAGTAGCACCAGCAGACAGCTTGACCCAGTAAGACAAAAGACCTGACAGCAACAGCAGAGGGTTATGGGAAGTATGTGGTGCATGCCCAGCTGGGAAGTTTGTGCTTGAGATGCCACATAGTGACAGCAAGAGATTAGGCAACAGGTTTTATCCTGAGCACCATGCACAGAAAATATTGCTATCACGCACAGACCTGCCTTGGAGCAGATCTCTGTAGTTCCTAACAAGTGCAGATGGGTGAAGTGAGGATGGAAAGGGCGAGACCTAAGGACTCATTGGAACAGGGGCTGGAAAAGCCTAGTGACAGCCTGGGCTGGTATCTGGCCGGTGACAGGAAGGAGGTTTTTCCTCTCTTAATTGCGAGTACTGGAATTTTATGATAAAAACAGACAAAGGAAAAAGTATCTGGCTGTTGGCACATCTTCATTTGAGTTTGGGACTTATTTTGTTGGCTGGGGCACACAAAGGAATGGACCAGGTGGCAGCTGAATCTGCAGGAAGAATGGGTTTGGATTAATTAAAGGACATGGTACTATCTTCGCTCCATGTTGCGTGCAAAGTTCTTCCACGTGTTCATTTGAGGACATGAAAGTTCCCTTCTATGGCTGGGCTTTCCTTTTCCCCAGGGATTGTCCAATACTTGAAACACTGACTCAATGGAGATAGTGGACAACTTGGATGCTAATGAATTTGGGTGCAGACAAAGGACACATTTGCTCTGGAGTGAACTGATTTCACTCCACAGGAAAAGTAAAGTGGGCACCTGATGTCCAGCTTTCCTACCAAGTAAGCCACTCAATTCCAGGGTAAAGCTGCCCCTGGAAACAGCTGAAATAACTTGGCCCTGTACATTTAGCGGGTCTGGAGCTCCAGTCTGTTTCATCCCAGGATAGTTATTTGCAAACAGATTAGGACTGGCTCCTATACCTCCTAGAGGCCCTGTCATAGCACCTCTCCCATGCAACTACCTCCAGAGGGCTGTTTCATGACTGCTAGCACCTTGGTGTCATTCTACTTCAGAATAAAATTCAAGGTAAATTATCCTGGGATAAATGTGTTGTGTGTCCACACCCTAAAGTGGTGTCTTGGAGGACACATTGGTTTGACCATGTGGAGCCTCAAAGAGCAATGCATTCCAGTTACTGCTCCAAACTATTAGCTACTGATGAAGATACTCATGCACAGCTGGTGAAAAACTGGATACTCCTGGGTGCTTGCACCTGAGGTCATCCGAATGAAGTTATGACCTTGTGCCTGACCTTGCCATGTGTCATCAGATATATTTCAGCTAACATCCCATTGCAGCTGCTGGTGATTTAGGACACATGCTTCTTATATGGCTGCACAGGGCCTCCAGGCTTCCCACATGACCCATCACGTGCACTCTTCTTATTCAACAGCTACAGGCCTGATTTCAGCAGGGAAGAAAGCTGGTCTGACTTTAAGCAGAGCCATGCAAAACACAGGACCTAGTATTTTCAGTAGATGGCTTTATGTTCTTCCTTACTCAAAAATGCTTCCCTGTGTACACCATAATTTCAGCACAGACCATGCAGGGTAGGATGTTGCCGGGGTTCTTTTTGTCTGACATGTACTTACTACCAGTGGAGGTAGTCTGGTCAGACAGAAGGACCCAGTATCTGAGGTTTTGCTGATAGCTCCAACTCACTTCTCAGGTCCCCAAAATCTTCAAAAATCTTGTGCATTTTTTTTAGAACACCCAAGGCTTTGTCTTCAAACTGCCCAAAGAGGAATATGGACAAGCTGGAACTGATCACTGTGAGTCCCAAATGGCAGCTAGCTTTCTGGCACTAACTCAGATCTTAGAAGATTTCTGCCCATTCACAGTTCAGCTACTATGTCATTCACTGGATCCAGGGTGGGTGATCATAAAAATATCTTCCCATTGCAGGATCCTAGTAATTACCCAAAGCCACAGCCTTGCTACCCATTGCTGGCTGCCTTGCAAAGGCAACTGATAGGCCCAGATTTCATGACCGCAGAAATCAGAACGATCCATTCCTCCTCAGTTTTCTACTGCATAGGCACCCAGTAGTCATCGTAGACACCTAAGTGCCAGCTGGGACACCAATGTAGGGCAGCAGGTAGCCTCACTCAGGCAACCATGTTTGAAAACTGGGCTCTCACCATTCTGTGGGCAGGGATTCATCTAGGGAGGGTGCTGTGTCATTCCAGACACGCAACGCAGGGCACGATCCTGTGTCATTCCAGACATGCAACGCAGGGCATGATCCTGAGACCTGAACTCACGGAACTTTAAAGAAAAGCCTTGAAGACGAGTGGATGGTTTTAGTAAGATCTGATATGGGGGGGGAGGGTGTGCAAATTTATCTGTGTCAAGCATCACTTGTCACTCCAGGCTGGATGATGCTTTGAGCACAGATCCTGTATAAAAGGGCATCTGGGTGGCGGTAGCACAAGAAGAGTATGTTTAGGGGCTCCTCTATCTATTCTGTGAATGATTTTGGACTAGGAAGGGGGAGGTGGTCATGCCAGAAGAGATGAATATCTGGTCCTTTGTCCCATCTGCTCTACTGTCCGATATCTAGCCAAGGTGCAACCCCTGTTCGACAGTGCAATTTTGTGCTACATCCACGGGGATCGGGTGGGGAGATCTTCCTGATCCTGTCTGAGAAGCACCTTGCAGTTGAAAGCATGAGGATTGATATCCTTTGCCATTTGTAGCTGCTGCTGACAATCTTATCCACACGATCTCCTTTGGATTCTGTGCTTGTAATTTGTTCTGTGCAGACAGCCTCGTGTTCCTGTGAAGCTCCTCTCTCTTTTTAATAAAAAAGTCACTCTAAATATGTATACATCTCCTTCAGAGCCTTTCCTCACTGTTTATTTTCATTGCAGTGTCTTATCTAACAGCTGATTACACCTGCTAAAGACTCCAAGTCACCACGTGCATCATTATTTGGAAGTATTTTGTACTTCTTTTCCAGCTCAGCTCTAAGACTCGGAGGATGTTTTTGATTTACAGGATGTGTCACTCCAAAGGAAAGTTGCCTCTCTCAGGCATCAAGAAGCTGCCTGAGGCTTGGACAAATATTTGCCTCCAGTACTATACACAGAACAGAGAAATCTTGGCTGCTTCAAAACTGAAGCAGTCCGTGGAAGCCTGATTTGGTCCCTACTTGCATGTCCCTGGGATGGGCTGCAAGCATCATCCTCAGTGCATTTCAGGGGGATAAAGGTGCTTTTGCATGTTAAATTGTATTTCCTTCAGGGCCTCTTGCCCTTTTACGATATATAATGACCATTAAAAGTGCTTGAGACTAGGAGAACTATTGCCTACCAAAAGCTGTGACAATTTAGGGCTTTTTATAACTATCCTCACCACAGGCTGTACTAGGACAAGTATTTTGGTTTAAGAAAAATCACAGTCCTAACCAACACAGTTCTAGGGGTTCAATGCTTGCAGGTAGACAAAACCTAATACAGTTGGTCCAATAAAAGATATCACCCACAAGCAGTATGATCTCCTGAACCATCCTGGCAACAATTTCACTTCTGTGCTGACAAAACCTAAGTCAGACAGAGCCTTATAAATTAGGAGGACAATCTTGAAAGGCACCAACCAGGAGACAAGGAAAAGGTAATATCAGGCAGGGTTGAGGAATGGGAGGAAGTCGGGGTGCCAGGCCCCAAGCTTGAGGGACACCCCCTCCCGCCCCCTCTCAGATAATTTTCTGGTTCAGAATAGGAGGTGGGGACCCCCCTACCATGATGTTCCTGGCCTGAATATTTCTCTTACAGGCCTTGGTACCAGGGCAAAAGAAATTGGAGGGCAATGCTTGCCCTTCCATGCCTCAGTCTTCGTATTATAGCTCTGCATATTGGTGGACAGGAGATGGTTGATCACCAAAAAAAAAGTACTGAAGTGAAGTAATCAGATGGATTAAAGATGATGATACACATCGGGCTGAAAGAAAGCTCAACATGCAGGCAGTCTTCAAGGTCACTGCCAGCTCCATCTGAAGGGCAAGGAGAGCTGCCACTGGTGGATAACCCCTCGCTCCTCAGGAGGACACCAGAGACTGTGCGCTGGGAAACAACCGTGAGCAGCTGGCAGCGTAGAGCGCGGTTGCAGTTCAAGACTGTCTGAAGACATTCACGCCAGAGCATCAGCCTGTCGTATAAAGTGCCCAGCTGCTGCGTGGCTCTGCAGCAGATAAAAATACACTGGCGTATTGTATGCGCACCCATGACTCTATAAACTAAACCCCAAAATCCCACGGGGGACGCATGTAGCATTTGGCGGTCTATAGGAACAAAAGAGAACCCCACCCATATGGAAGGCCAACGTTAGGAAAAAAGCCACTCGATGTAAGCAAGACACTGGTTTAGATTTCTTTCTTTTCATTGACAGAAAACAGTTCAGATAAAGCCTTTGTAAACAGGCAGCTCCATAGCCCGATACATCAACAGAGTCGAGTCCTCTGTTGGACTCTCAGATGAATTCAGTATTGCAAGAGAAGAAAATAACATTTGGTGGGATCATCTTGCTTGTTGATGCACGTAAAGAAACACGAGACAGACTACCAGGAGAGATGGTCCCCGGTCCCCCCAGAAAGGAACAGACAGCAGTTGTCAGAGGCGCGCTGGCAGGCACACGGCAATGGTTACAGAACAGCTGTCCACAACACGTTTGGGTAAATCAGTACCAGTAGCAACTTCCCTAACGAGAACTTAATAAATGTTATAAAGGGAAGGAAAAGTCCAAAGGAGATGAAAGGAAATCCTGGTCAAGGGTGGCAAAGGGAGAATAATTATCCAAAAATATGAGCATAAATGGGAAGTTGAAAATCTCTGAGAACTCATGGCACGGCAGCTCAATCTCTGTTTGCCATTAGTTGCATGTGCTGCATCTTCAACTATGCTATCCAAGCCTCTTCTCCTGACCTTACGGGCTGTGGGATTAGTGTTCAGTATTTCTTTCTCCTCTCTCGGACAGCAGGATCCTCCAGCCCCCCAGTGTTGGCAGAACATGGAAATTCATAGATTGTAGATTGTAAGGCAGGAAGGGACCTCGGAAGATTATCGGGTCCAGCCAAATACGTGCCTTGAGGTCACCGTGATCATAGAGTTGAGTATTTGATGGAAAGAAAAATCCTATGAAGCCCGTCAAGGAATGGAAGCATCTCCCAAGACATTTCTTTTTACCTTCTCCAATGTCATTGGCAGAGAAAAGTGAGCTCAGAAAAACGACTGACACTGCAGTCACCTCTACATAATGCAGAAGGGGATTATGAGCACAAGATATCTATGCAAAGAGACATATAGGTTGAGGAATATGCAGGCAAGTGGCAGAATGCAGCTGCCAAAAGAAATCCCCTATCATCAGGAGTGAAAAGAAAAAAATATATATTAGAGAGGTGCGTCATTAATAGCAGCAAGAGAAAAATGAACATAAGCCTATAAGTATAAGCACCCAGAAGGCTAAGCTTGTTTCAACATTACTCAGTCCCTCCATACTTCATCAGGAACTCGATGCACAACAAGAACATGTTGCTCTGGACTCCGTGCATTGATTAACAGGTTTCAATAATTCCACCTCCCTGAGCAATTTTCCTTGGTAAGAACCAGGACAAATGACTGCTGTAACAATTGATACAACCGCCAATGCCTTTTAATGCCAAATATCCACGCAAAGCATTAAGAATTAATATGGTTTGAATTGATTTAATTACTTATTCCCGCTGTACTGTGACCAACTACTTGCGACAGTGTAAATGTATTTTAAAATGATTTTCCTGTCTATAATCTTCAAAATAGATCTTGATGTGAAACACTGTGGAAGTCCAAAACCGCTTAACTTAATTCCTCTTGAAAAGGATCTGTACCAAGATTGAACAAGGATGAAGTGTAAAAACATATGTTATTATACATCTGGGGTACCTCCAGCTAGTTTCTGCAACTTCCAAACAATATGTAATTATTTTAGCTTTATATTAATTGCATGTGGCATCTGACATGAACAATGGGTTATTAAATGAACTCCTGTAAGTTTATTGTGCACGCACAGCCCACGTAACAAAACCACCTCATGCACTCACATATACAGTTGGTGCAGCTCATAGAAAGGAATGATGCAAAGATTACACAGCATAACTTCAATAATGATGACACCTGTCAAGCAGGACAGATCACGGTGCTTTTGTCCTGATGTGAAGCACACTGTAGGGGTAATAAGCCCCAGATTGCTAGATTTACCACTTAACCACTCAGCTGAGCTCCATTTTCTTTTCAGCCTGTGATTGAGCAGCGCTAACACTGCAGCCAAAGATGAATTGGTTTGCTGGATTATATGGGCCACATCCTGCCATGGCAGCTTTGTAGTGCTCTCTCTGGTCTCAGAGGCCTCGAGGGTCTGTGACTGCCTTAACTGCCCCTTCCTCCTATCTTGCACAATCTCCTTTCACCTTGTTGCATCTGTGCCTATCCCTTCTGGATAATTTTTTACATTATTTTCCCATCATTGCCTTGTTCTATTTCCAGGTCTGATACCCTCCACCTCAGCTTCCAAGGCCTGCTTCACACACCTTCTCTCTTGTGGAGGTCCACAAGCTTTTGATCATGTCTTCTTCTCCATGCTCAGTTTTCTTGTGTTGCACCAAATATTTTTCGTAGCACTTTTGTTTTCAAACTCTTGCAGCCTTGTTTCCATTTGTGCTGCTCTAGAGGTGCCCAATAGCCCTTCTGCCATTTTAATGAAACAGCAGACCATATTTCTGCTAAGCAAGATGCAATAGAGCCATTGCTTTAAGAAGAAAGCTAGAAGAAAGGCTGTGGCTGGGGTGGCCCTATCTGCTGGACTGACCCGCCAGCCACCCTTCCTTGTTGCTGTCACTGCTTCCCAGGATGGGCTGACCAGATGTGGCTCAGGGTTGAGGCCTGTGCTAGAAGTGGAATACAGATGAGATGTGTGTGCTTCTTCCTGGCACTGCAGTGGTACCACTGAGACTTGACTTTGGCCTGGCTGCTCACTACATGGGAAAAGCAAACCAAAGCATGCGGATGAATCCAACCTGAGAGGCCCTTCCTGTGAAGTACAGAGTCACCTTCCCAAGTGAGCCACCCATTTAAAGAAATAGTGACCGAGGCACCACGGTGGGCATGCAGCTTGTTCTGGTCTCCTTAATTTTGTTATTCACAATGATAGAAGCAACAAGCTGGGGAAACCAGGAAGCCTCTATGCATGCATTGTACAACGCTATCTTAAATCAGCATACATGCAAACACTCAGCGATACACAATAAAAATTGCACAAGAAGGGAGATATGCTTACTTCAAATAGCACTTAGTCTAGTCAACAGTACCAATGCTAACCCAGCTGAGTAACCGCAATCTCTAGGCACTTAGAAGTCGACAGAGAACTCTCTAGTGCTTTCCCATGCTACCTGAAAAATACATTATTCAGTCACACGTGGTATCAAATGTTTATTTCTAGGACTGAGATAGGGACAGCAAGAGGGTAGAAAGAGTTGATTGTTTTCCCCCCCTAACTTCTTCCCTGTTGGTTATTTATTTGGCTGAGAAAATATATATGAAACCCCTTAAAAGGCAATGGATACATTTGCTGACCAGGCTGCAGCCACCTACATTCACTGTGACTGTTAAAAAACTAGGTGAAATATGACCTGATGGTTTTTGACATTTGCAATGGGATGACTGCTTTCAGCTGGGTGACAGTGCCTGGGTGGGGGTGAGAAGACCAGCACACAGTCCTGGGAGCTCAGAGTTGCACCAGGGACTGCTAGGACTCCAGTAGGGTGTGCCACCTACAGACCTGCTGCCCCTTTGTCTCCTTCATTTCCTGCCAATGGTTTTGCTCTTCTTCTCCACTGCTGTTCTGACCCATAGAAATCCAGCCAATCATCTCCTTGCGCTTCATGCTGCGTCTGTTGTATATGGAAATCATCAGCGTGACATCAGAAAGCTGAAAAAGGGCGACCTGGAAGACGAACGTCTCCTTGTAGATGGGGTTTGGCTGTCCACGACGGATGGAGGTCTTGCACCGAGACATCTCCTGGCCCATGGAGTTGAGAAGGCAGAGCTTCCCATAGGTATCTAGGGCAAAACAAAGAGGAAAAGGGCTTAGCTCTGGAGAAGGAACAGTGGGGGGAAAAAAGAGTCGAAGCTGAGTGACACTTTTCCATGGGAGTGGAATAGACATGAAGAAAGGTACCTGAGCAGGTCCTCTTGGAAGCTCTTTATCATTCAGTAGGAAGTGCAGAAATCAGGCTGAGTTTACCTTTGCTTTCATGACCTAGCCACAGGCCTGCCCCCCAAAGCCTTGAACATCCCTCCAGGATGAGTAGGTATTTTTAGGCATCTCCTTGGAGAATTCATACCAGCAGAGGCCTCCAAACCCCCCCTCCACTTCCTGGCACCATAACTCTGCATTGGAGCTGCTCCATCAGCATCTCCCCTGGTTCCACTTGCTTCACATGACTCCCCTTTAAAAGGGGTGAAACCCGCTACCTGCTATCTTAGATCATGACAATCTTCCCCCAAGCCAACAGTGATCTACAGGGTCTGGAAATGTGGCTGTGGGAGAACTGATTTGTGGGAGAAGGCAAAGATGACAGTATGACCTGGCCATAAGCAAACACTTCATTGCATTATTGAAAGTTTGCAATAAAATCCCCCCTTTTTTTTGCTTTTCCTCCTGCATACAGCAGAATCAAGGCCATTTCCGTTCACTGTTCCAATTTTGTACTCTACAGGCTTCTATATAAAACTACGCTGCCTCTGGAAGTGCCACTAATACACACTTTGGCGAGTCAAAGCTTTCTGGTCCCATCTCACCATTGCCCAAGTGCTGCTCAGCCCAAGCTGACAGCTGATGATGGCATTTGGGTCACTTTGTCAGGCAGACCCAGCTCTCACCTCTTTACAATCGAAGACCACGCTCCTGTAATTTTATGTCATCTCAGAGTGCACTGCAGATAGGAAATAAAATTACAACCCGCTGTCTCCTTTCTCCAGCACGTCTAGCCTTTTCTATTCCGGTTTGATGTGCTATTTTACGCACTTATCTGCTGAGAAACACAAGGTGTGAAATTACACTTCAGGTGTGAAAACACTTGTGTCTCTCAAAAGCCGGGCTCTCCGCTCCTCAAACTGTTCCTCTGAAAAAAGCCGTCAGGAAGCTGACAATTGAGGAGCAAATTGTGAGCCTGCACAGCTGTACAGCTATCCAGTTATGGCAGGGGAAAAGTTCAACCCAGTCACCAGCTCGCGATGCCAATTTGTCTGCCAACATAGTATTTGAGATGAAGTGAATCTTGCCAACAAAGGCCTGCTTGTTAGGCAGAAAAGGAGAGTGATTTCAGTCTTTATGCTGTCATAACTAGTTTGCTGATTGTGGCTAGGAAGGAAAGAACCACTTTAATCAAGGAAGGTGAATGGCCCAGGTGCTCGAGGCAGGTTTGGGGGTCCACAAGCTTTACAGAGACGTGGACTTCATCCCCACCTCCAGTCCACTCTCTCTGCGACTCTCTGGGGCTGAATTTAAACAAAAATACAAATGTAGTCCTTTTCTCGCTTAAATGAAGATTGATGCCAAGCAAAAGATTCCTTCTAATACTTGTCAGGATTTTAATATTTTAACCAACTTCCCCGATAGAAATATGTCATGGAGTAACCAGAAAGCCTGGCCTCTGGAGAAAGGCCTACTGAGGCTTCTTGTAGATCAAGTCTAGTTGAGGTGGGGGCAGAAATCATGGATCTTTTCCCTCCAAAACGTTATTTTGGATTTCAAAAAAGTTCATTTTGGAGGGCAGGGGGAATCAGACAGCCTTACAGGTGGTGAGGGGAAAAAAAAGAAATCAGGAAACATCTTTGCTAACGTTTCATAAAACTCCAACATCACATTTTCCACAAAACATCAACATATTCACCCAACAGATACCCCCGGGGTATCT